GTCTGAGTAATAATATAATTATTAAATCTGTAAAATATTGTTTACTTTAGACTTTAAACATATGAGATATGAAAAAAAGAAGGCGCCCATACTTTTTCCACATTGGATAAAGGACGCTCCCGAGACAGAGGACTCGGGTTGTGATGGTCACCATGCTAATTCCGGGAAGGGATTTCCTTATGCACCAATCCTATTGCCGAGATTTGGCCATTTCTGACAGATGGTCTGCTCTTGTTATAAAAATTACTTGCATGGTAAGAAATATAAGACTCGGAAAAATCTCTTAGCTTAGAACTGTGAACAGACCACTACGTAGCATGTCACGTGACCGCCTGGATCACGCATGGGCAGAACAATGGCAGATATGCATCAAAATCGGAGAGGACTACTTTAAAAAATAATGAACACTGAAACCTCATTTTATTTCTTTTAAGGACGTTATTCAATTAGTTCGCGAACTTTTTGATCACCCCTCGTATTTAACTTTGTCTGATATGTCTTCTTATTGTGACTCAATTGTGCTCTACTATTGTGATGTAAATGTATGTAGTGCTGTACATTTTATTGTTTCACTGTTATGCATGTTTTATGTTGATGTATATGTTCATTTATGTCAGTCAAAAGCTCATTAGTGCTTGTGTTGTCTTTTAACTACCAAACTGACTTTAAATAAAGCTTAACTTAACATAGAAACAAGTATTAGCTTTCCTAAAAAGCTTGTCTGACTTGAGCAAATTTATTTTTACCCGAAGAATCAAGAAAAGTTAAATCCAATGTAACCAACATGACTCTGAGTCATGAAATGAATTAGCACTAAGAAACAAGAAAAGTTCAATTCAGAAACTTGGACATGCGTTTATTCTATCAGAGACGTGATTCTGTATACATTATATTATTTTTAAATTCTTCTTTTTCATGGACGTAGGAACCGGGGGGGGGGGGGGACCGTGAGCTCAATAATTTCGAGGATTTATACATAAGTACTTTATGCTTGTGTCCCCTGAATTATGTAAATATTAACTTTAGATAATTTTTTTTATGCCCGATAAGGAATTTTTCCTTGATTGTGTCCACCCGAAACTGAAATTTTCTGAAATTTATTCCAACGGGCCTGTTAATGAATAGGAAGATATAACCAGTGCTTTTGAAAGAAAAAGTTACAACACATAAAAATCTAAACATCAATTGGTGAACAATTTTGATAATTAAGAAATGTCTTATTAAAAATAATAAACATGTTTAAAATGAGCTAATATCTTTGCAATTAATTTAAGCAAAAGAATATTCAACATTTATCCTTCACTTTGATATTTTTTTTTAAACTATGAATAAATCAAACGTCTGCTAGTTATGAATATGTGTAGATTTATAAAAATTCTAAAGGTAGAGGGACATAGTGCATGCATTGCAAATAAACATCCAATCAGTAGTTTATCTGATAGTGTTGACCTGACCAGCTTCATTCCTTCTGTTTTTGCTGGACATGAATGATGCAATTTTCGAGAATGGCCAAATGTTATGTAACCTGTAATGTATAATGTGATAATAATGGCATCGGCTCCAATACTCTGGCTTGTTTGGGTGTTTAGCATGTTTCCTTTACTCCACATGCTCGCCAATTAATAGTTTAGATAATATGAAGTTTATCACAAGAATTCTATTGAACGACTTGACCAACAAGCCTTGGTTAAATCTAATACTGTCTGACGTCATGACGTCAGACAATCAGTTTATCGTGCGAAGGTTTATTGATAGGCATTTTAGTTTTATATATTATATATATTATCTACTGGAGGGAAAAAGAAAGGCAAGATAAACTTTTGATGTGAATTAGGTATAGTTTTGGCATGTATTTTCAAATTTTTTATGCCCCCGTAATCGAAGATTCGGCGGTATATAGTTTTTGCTCTGTCCGTCCGTCTGTCTGTCTGTTTATCCGCAAAAACAAGTGAGGTTACCTTCATTCCTCTCTCATAAATACAGTGAGCGTATGACATGATGGTAGAGAGTAACCTTCTTTTGTCAGCTAGTGCATAAACCCATTTAAAATATGATACAAGTTTCTACTTAACAACACAAAACAGCATGTGTATGAAATAACCCATCATGTTAGTAACACAAACAAAATCAAATCAAAGAGCATGGTAAAACTAGTACCACTGCTGTTATTCGGGAAGGTTGCTTGTAACTTCGGGAGGTTGCAAAAGTGCCATCTAGAAAATTTCCAAAGAGGGGAAGTTGGGGCAAATACGACAGGAAAACAAATGAATTTGGGATGTGTATTTGGGCAAGGTCATCCGTGTGGGTTTAGAGAGCCCCCTACCCCCAATTATATTCTGAAGATTTTTTTCCAAAAATGTAGTTTTGGCATCTATAATTTTCAATTTCATCAAAATTGCACACACTGAAAAAGTATTATTTGCTGTTTTGCAACAACATGAATAATTCATCAACTTCCAAACATAAACTGTTTTTAACAGAAAAATATTTCCAAAAACTCTTTCTGAAAGAGAACTTTTAAATATCGGACTGGTAATGAATTTATTATTAAAACACTAACACAAGTCGCCTATTGTCCACATGCTCACCTGTGCATTTTTGCTCAATTTAATGCATGAATATATTTTATGTAGATTACTGGAATACTGTACAACAATATTATTATTGGAGTACTGTCAACAAAATATTTGAGAAGTGCTGTAAATCAGATGTGAATACTTAAAAATTCCAAGGAATGTTTGGAAAATTTGAAATCACAAAATTTTACCAAAATCAACAACATAAAAACTTACGACTTTTCAACATTATATACAACCATTCCCCACGATAAATTAAAGTCCAGGCTTTTTGATATCATTGACAGCTGCTTTTTCAACAAAAATGGAACTCGTAAATTTACTTTCCTTGTCATTGGTCATTTGCAAAATTATTTTGTTTAAAAAACATTCTGGTTGTACACACAAGTACTCTGAAGTTGATTTTAAAATGATGCTCGAGTTTCTGATTGACAATATCTATGTGTTGTTTGGAGACCTGGTCTTCCAACAATCTATTGGAATTCCCATGGGTACCAATTGCGCCCCGATATTAGCAGACCTATTTTTGTATTCATATGAAGCAGAATTTGTTCAAAATCTTATACGTGAAAAGAAAAAAAAAAACACTTGTTGTGGCCTTCAACTCGACATTTAGATATATCGACGACGTACTGTTAATTAACAATGGTTATTTACATTCTTATGCCGATACGATATATCCCAGTGAGGTTGAAATAAAAGATACCACAAAGTCTGACACATCTGTTTCATATTTGAATACTTTACTAGAAAAGACGTTAATGGTAATCTAACAACCAAGCTTTATGATAAATGTGATGACCTCAACTTTACAATCGTCAACTTCCTGTATTTATGCAGCAATATACCTTCATCATCTGCATATCTCTCAGTTGATTCGATACGCAACAGGCACGGATCCAGGAATTTTTTCCGGGGGGTCCAGTCAAAAAAGAAAGTAAAAATCAATTCCCAAAAACTGTTTCGTGGTGGTGATGGGGGTCCACGTTTTCTTTCGGGGGTGGGGGTGGGGTGTTCCAATGCCATTTTTAATTAACTTCAGTATATACTTTTAATAACCCCCGGATCCCCACCCCCACTCTAGATCCGCGCATGCGCAAGAGCATGTTCTACGTATGAACAATTTCTAAAACGAGGTAAGTTGACAAACAAGTTGATGAAACAAGAATATCAGCAGTCTCGTTTAAAGGCGTCATTTCGTTAAGTTCTATGGTCGATACAATGATCTTGTCAGCAAATACAATTTATCATTAAATCAAATGCTGACTGACGTTTTTCATACTTATTGTTAAGCCATTATTTACACACTGAATTGTTGAAGGATTTTTCCGTTATTTACCGATCAAGACAAGGAGCACACGGCGGGTGTGACCGGTCGGCAGGGGATGCTCACCATGGCACCTGATTCCACCTCTGATGTTTTAGAGGTCCGTGTTTGCTCTGCTCCAAAATGTGTATTGTTTAATGGACTTTTGAGCTTGTATACTTTTCGTTATCTCCATACATTGCATTATAAAATGACTTTTGCGAGTTCTTCATTACCGAGGTAGAGTGGAGAGTACATTTAGATGTAATCACTTATGTGTGGGTCCTGTCCTTTAGAAACTAGCTATTTCGAGACATCATATACGACGTACTTTCAAGTGCGACATATACGTGACGTTTAGTGAATTACCACACATCTTTTTATTCATGAATTTTAAATGACTTCAATTATTTTAATTTGTTCATTAATTAAGACACTACGTGCAAATGAAATATGAAGACAACGAACAGTAATCAAGCTGGAAGAAACCATTGAAACAAATTGGTGCAGCGCAAATACGGACCTCTAAAACATCAGAAGTGGGATCAGGTGCCATGGAGAAGTAAGCATCCACTGTCGACCAGTCACACCCGCCTAGTAATCCTTGTTATGATCGGGCAAACGAAAAAATCCATACACAATTCAGTGTGAAAATAATGGCCTTTCAATTTGTATGAAAAATGCCATTATTTTAAAATCGAACTAAAACTGTAGGAGGAATAGCGTTTTGAAAGAATTTCACAGAAATTTCTATTTTTAGTAGCTATGGCAACATCGTTGACCGAAATCAAAAACCGATACATAGAATTATGTATCTTAGTGTAGTCTACTTGTGCACTAAGTTATGCTGAAATCGGACCAAAACTTTAGGAGGAGTAGCATTTTGAAAAATTGTTTACAGACAAACAGATGGACTGACAGACAGACGGACGGACTAAGAGACAACGGACACCTAACTATCGCATAAGCTCCAGTAGAGCTAATAACGAAGTCCAAATTTGGAGGCAGATTTCTGAAGTCAATACATCCGAACCGACATATATAAAATGTCCAGCCTTGTTTTTTGTCATTTGTGCTCAGAAAGTTTCCCCTGCAATTTTTTCTGTCAAAGAACTATACCTGTTTTTCTCTACCTATATTATGCATGTACAAGTGTATATGTAAAAACTTAAACATTGCTGATATAGAACTTTGTTTCTTTTATTAATCTCCCTATCGTAAAGTAGTAAATATCTTTCAGTTTTTAATTGTACCTTTATTTTTTATCGAATTGCACGCGACTTTCAGTCTTTTAACTGCACGGAATTCTGATCCATGTTTGATTTTTAACTGAAATGAAGTATCCAATTATATCCATATATTTTGATAAACTGTTTTCTGTGTCTGTTAAACCGCTGACTTCTGTGTGCCTTTTCTACATTCTCATCATTCTTTCTTGGCAGACAAAGGCGCTGAGCTTTTTCTTCATATTCAATATGGTAGTCCTCATTCAGGACTTGGTTTTAAATCCACACGGAATGGTTTATCAACGGGGAGTGATCCACATCTGGCAACAGTAATCTCCACAAGGGGGCGGTCATTACTATCTGTACGAACGTTCTCCATCTTCCGAAATATGTCCTGAAACGATAAAAAAAAAAAGTGAGGAAAATATTACTGAATACATGTCTGTTCATATGGGGGTTCAATGAGCTTCAAAAATAATATTGTTATTAATTTACCTGATCCACATTGTTAGTGATTTAAAAGCACTAAAGTTTGTTTTGATAAGTTATGTAAGATATTATTTAGCGATTTCTCTTTATCATACTTTGTACTTTGATTTTAGACGCATTCATGAAAACGATACTTGATAAATTGACATCCAGACTAAATATACTGTAGTGATGCCTATTTACCATTCCTGCCAAAACCTTTCCAAAAACCACGTGCTTCCCATCCAACCATGGAGCCGGGACGGCAAAAATGGCGAATTGTGAGGAGTTTGTGTCTTTACCGTGATGTGCCATATTGACCCACCCAGCCCCGTAATGTGCAAGATGGAAATTCTCATCCGGAAATCTTGCACTTTCAAATATACTTCTCCCTGAAAATTAATAAATTGAGGATCAATTTTAAAAAGATCTTTTAAATTAATCTATTCATATATTCCTTTTATATCATTTCTGCTGTTTGTATACCTCCATATCCGTTTCCCTGAGTTATATCCCCTCCTTGTACGATGAAGTCCTTGATGATACGATGAAAACGAACTCCCTCGTACGTTAATCTTTTTCCGTCTCGAACCTAAGATTAATACTAAGGTTATACTGTTTTTTCATTGATCTCAAATTACATATAACATTAAAATTTAAGGAATATCGTCGTCAACTTTTGACAAACAAAGCAAATATTTCATAAAGGTCCAGGGGAAAAATTTTTTAAATGACATTATTTACCAGTCTGATTCAAAGTCACTGAAATTTTATGACTTTCGAAAATAAAATATTTCCTTGTTAGATTTTTAATGAATGAACAATGGCATTTTATGAGAGTAAAAAGGTCACATACATGTACTTAATTATGGAGTGCAGAACTGTAGCCTTCCAATAGAAACCTTATGTAGCTTGTTTTAAAATACATCCCTTTTAAATACACTTTAAATGTGTATCCAAAGTTTATTTACCATCTATTTGCAACTAGCCCCGCATGCTCTTCATTAAATAATCGTAATTTTTACACTCAAAAAATATGTTACAATGTACATGTTAGTTTCGTTGGAAGAATTTATAAAATTTTTGTACAATTTCAGTCATTTTGTTTATTTCAGCGTACACATACTGGTATATACATGTATGCGTGGGTTATCGATAATTATCGTAACTATATGTCCATACTAACCACGGTGCCCTCGGCGAGGGTTTTAAAGTTGAGGACAGTCTTAGGAACCACATCTCCAAACAAACCAATCACCATACGCCCTATCTCTTCATCGCCCATTCGAATGTCAAAGTAAACCTATACAAGTCAGCAGATTCAGTAATTAAAAGACGAGTATTTTACTAACCAGTTTAAACGATTACTACCTTAGTGTTGATGTCGATCACAAGGATCCGATTACCAAACTAACTAAATAGCACCATTGTTATTTTATTTTTTAGATTTACACTGAACATGCTGAAGCTGACTTACTTTGTCCGTCACCATGGGTCCTAGTTCTTCTCTGGCTGTATCATTGCTACATACAACGACCAAAAACACCATCAGAACAAACACAGATTTTCCATCACACGCCATGTCTGGTCTTCTACGGTTCCTTAGTTATGCAGACACGTGGCACATCACACTTAATCTAAAACCACCGCTGTACCTGCAACATAAGCCTGCATGTGTAGTGGCAATCGGCGGGGGAGAACACAACCACTACACATACTGCACTAACTGAAGAGGGTTAACTTCCCGACATAAATTCTTTACATATATATATATATATATGCTTTGATTTGTTCTACAAGATTCAAATATTTATATTCTTTGTAATCAAGCCATGAAAAGTCACATGACACCGGCACTCACTCCCTGCTGTTACGGTAATCCTAAGTCCAGCTGTTAAATCTTCTGTACTAACTACTTACCGATTGTAATAATCTGATAATCTCTGCACTAATATGAAGCCTCTGCCACTCTGTTAGAACTACCTAATTAATCAGACAGGACCCTCCACCAGTATGGAACGCTAAATTAACATATATTCAAATATTTGAACCTATCTTCAAATAATTGTACCTATCTTCAAATAATTGAACCTATCTCTAAATGAATTGAAGATAGGTCTAAATGAATTAAAGATAGATGTAAATAATTATACCTATCTCTAAATAATTACACCTATCTTCAATTCAATTAAAGACAGGTTCAATAGAATTATACCTATCTTCAATTCAATTAAATATAGGTTCAATTGAATTATACCTATCTTCAATTCATTTGAAGATAGGTACAATTGATTTGAAGATAGGTACAATTGATTTATAGATAGGTACAATTGATTTAAAGATAGGTTCAATTGAAACATATCCGCAAAGGATTTGAAGATAGGTACAAATCAATTATACCTAGGTTCAATTCTTTTTCTGTTATTGAAAATAATGAAAGCTCCCTCTAACAGCGTCTTGAACAAGGAGGGAACTGTGCAAAGCATTTTATAGGGAGTAGTTGTTATTGTCAGTGTCTTTATAATTAAAGATAGGTTCAACTCAATATTGCACCTATTTTTAAATCCATTATACCTATCTTTAATTCATGGCATTTGTACCTATCTTCAAATCAATTGTACCTATCTTCAAATCAATTGCACCTATCTTCAAATCAATTAAAGATAGGTAAAATTGAATTAAACCTATCTTTAATTCATTTGAAGATAGGTACAATTGATTTGAAGATAGGTACAATTAATTAAAGATAGGTTCAAATATTTGAATATATGTTAATTTGGCGTTCCATACACCAGGGTTATTCAAAACAAGAGGCCCATAGGCCACATCGCTCACCTGAGTACTTTGACGAGGAAAAAGAGGAAATCAGTTTAGTATAACAAAGTTTAAATATAAAAGTGGTTCGGTTAGGGTTTTTTTTTTTTGGGGGGGGGGGGGGGGGGAGGGCATGATTTGAACGAACTTGAATCTACACTACCTGGGAATGTTTCTGAATTAATATTACTAATCATGACTTTTCTGTTCTCTTGAGAAGAAAAATTTTATCTTTATTTTCCTTCGTAAATAAATTTAATCCCCTCTTTTGGTCCCTCTCTATACTCCTGTGGGGCCATGATTTGAAAAAAAAACTTAAATCTACATTACCCGAGGATGCTTCTATCTTATTATGTTAAACCATGGCTTTCCTGTTCTTGAGAAGATTTTTAAAGGTTTCACCTATATAAAACTTTGATCACCCATTGTGGCCCCTCCCTACACCTGGGGTTCATGATTTGAACAAACCGGCACTACCTGATGATGCTTCCAAATAAATATGATCAATTATGGTTTTGCTGTTCTTGAGAAGATTATTAATTTTTTTCCCTAGGTTTTCTTATGTAAAACTTTGATCGCCCATTGTGGCTCCATCCTACTCCCGGGGGTGTCATGATTTGAACGAACTTGAATCTACACTACCTGAGGATGCTTCCATATAAATATGACTAATCATGATCTTGCTGTTCTTGAGATTTTTAAAGATTTCTCCTTTGTATTCCTATGTAAAACTATGATCGCCTATTGTGGCACCACCCTACCCTCAGAGTCATGATTTGAACAAATTTGAATCTACCTGAGGATGCTTCCACTTAAGTTCTTTTTTTTTAACACAGTGGTTTTTGAGGAGAAGATTCTTAAAAGATGCCATTAATTTTTCACTAATTCCTAATTATCTCCCTTTGGAAGAAGGCGTGGCCCTTCATTCGAACAAACTTGAATTCCCTTTACCCAAGGATACTTTGTGGAAAGTTTATAGTTGAAAATGGCCTAGTTGTTCTCGAAAAGAAGTCGAAAATGTGAAAAGAGAACAATCTTCCGCTCTGATAAAAGACATTTCTGAATTCTTAACGTCCATGAAAAGTTAATTTTTTTCTTCAAAAATAGTATTGTCAAAATAATCTTTTACACATTTATTTTATTGAATAAATTATTGATAAATGATTTTTTTTTTCACTCATATTCTTAAAGAATGCGAAAAAGGAAAAAAAGGCTTCACACGATTCGAACTCTCTCCAGAGCTCACGATTAAGCGAAAAACTGAACGCATTAACCACTACGTTATGAAGTCTACTTGTCTTTTTTTGTGAATTAAAAAACGAGTTTGTTGAAGCGTAATTTTTTTCCAGAAATGTTCGATTTTCATTTAGCAGTTTAGAATAGGTTCAGACTCCATTTTTTTAAAACATGGAATAGATTTTACTTTTCCGTCATTTAAACTTAATAAGATAAGACTTTGAAGTTTGAAAATTGAGATACTAGTATTCTCTCAGAGCGGGGGATTGTCCTCGCCTTGTACACACTCGCTTTCTTTACAGACAGACGAACGGACTGACACCCCCGCTAATAAAATAAGGACGTTGAAGGACGGCACGGACACAGACACTTGTTTCATATACAGGGCATCGTTCACGTGGTAAAAATAAGTAGGGATGCCCTGTATATGAAACAAGTGCCTGTGTGGAGGAAGCAAGAAATATGTCCAAAGGGAGCTGTGCATTTGTGTATAAATTGCACAAACGGTTTCTGAGTGGTAGAGTCCTGCATTAGAAGATAGTCAGCATGAGAGGAAATGGATTATCAGTAAGAGGCTGGTCAAGAGCTGGAGCGCTTCACTATTGCGGGGCTTGTGGAAGCAGAGTAACGCGGTAAAAAAAAATTGAAAAACACTGACGAACGCATGTTACACTAAAATGAACAGCTGTTGGCAAATTGTGTCAAGTGGTAGAGTGGGAAAAGCGTCAAAGACTGTGTATGAAATGTAGAGGGGAGTATTTTTGAGAAACTGTCAGAAAGTAAATTTTCTGACGTTTACGTTCGGCGTGGTGATATTTCATTTTAAACTTTGAGTTTCATTTAATCAAATATTGTTGCAAGCGCTGATATACTCATACGTTAACATTACCATTAACATGAACATGATCAATAAGTTCCGTTCACATCGACATATTGTCACCAACGATATACATGTATAATAATGCAGGGCAACAATATATGCCATCACCCACGTGGTTATTTGTGATCAAATACGTCTTATCAAAAATGTTTTGTTTAAATGTACATTTTTAATTTTTTTGAAGGTTTTACAAACATTTTTTTGAATTAATTTGTACATATATTACATATTGAATGAATAAATTATTCACAAAGTAACAAAAGACAGATATCGCTAATTATACTCATTATGTTGTAACAGGGATATATATATATATATATATATATATATATATATATATATATATATAATATTATATTCGTGCATGGTTCTAATCATCCACTATTCCTGTGTGTCAAATCAGTCATTCATTTTACTTCATACATGTAGACACACAATTTACCACTATTTTAAAAGAAATGAACACGCAGGGAATGTAATGTAAATTTTCTGCTATATAATAAAGTCATCTTTCTATTCCATCTTGCATTTAACTGAACAATTTGAAGAATTTGTTATATTCAACTGTTGAAGGATTTGAGATCCGAGTACGAAAACAGTTAACATTCACTCCAAAACTGTTTCTCCTTTTGTAGCTTGGTCAACAAATTCTGTGGAATCTTTCAAAAACATACAAGGGGAAAAATAATGAAAAAAATTATCTCTTGAGAGAGCTTTCTCACATATTTCAGGATTCTACTTTCATAATAACCAGGTAAGTCACACGAGATTTTCCTTGTCATTTGTACTGAGTTCAACAAGAGCTATTTTTTCTGGACTGTCTCTGTCCGTTCTCTCACTGCTTGGTTGACTAGAATGACCACTGTCCAGTAAACTTGAGTGTCCACTACTGCCACTGCGAGTTCGCAACCTCAGATCCACAGGAATAACAGATGTATGCTTACTCTCTTGTACTATTTCAGTTTTTATTTTATTCTTCTTGCTTTGGTCAAATGACACTTTAGAATCTAGCACAGCCACTCCCGAAGTTTTTTCCAGAGATTTCAATTTAAATCCCTTTTTAAGGCTAAAAATCAATAAAAATGTGAAATTGATTTACATTGGTGGCTGAGCTGAATGTAAAAAGGCAACTCAATATAGGAATTCAACAGAAGCAATGAATGAAACTTGGCCGACAAGCCCTACAATTTTTTTTTAATCAAGGATAAAATATTTTGATGTTGCTTCCATGTAAAATTACACATACATGTACATGTACCTATCTATAAATTGCTTCAGTGTAACATCACACATACATGTACCAATCTATAAGTTGGTTCTATGTACAATTACACATACTTATCTATAAGTTGGTTCAATAATTTCATGTAATGGTCGTATTCACTCTCTCCAAATATCTAAAAACATTAAAATTATGTACTTGTTACAAACTGAAATAATCTAATGAGACTCAGAAAAAGAAAAGTCTTAATCATTATCAAACATTAAATAAAAAGTAGAAAACTAAAATCCTAACAGTTTATCTACCTTATCATATATATAATCAAATGTATTTAATACATGTATTCATATAAATAGATGAAATATATACTTTAATAAGGCAACATTATTTTGAAATAGGAAAACAAATTTTGTAGTTTTAGTTTCAGCATTAGCATTACATGTAAGAATTGATATTGCATGAAACTTTGTTACATTATACCTCTGGGCTATGACGAGCATGCTCATAAGCATCACTGAACTCATTAATAACCTCCAATGGGCAGGTACTAAGGCAGGATTTTTTGAGTCCCGTCAGATACCACCTGACCCGGGTATTTGGGTGACGCCCCTTGTATGTGTTATCTTCTATCTTTAAAGTTTCGTCTACAGACATAAAAATAGGACAACAGAATCAGTAAAGCTTTTAAATCAATTTCCTCTTTTAGGATGAATTGAAGCATAAAAAATAGTTTGTGTTCATAAAAACAAACAAAGTTGCTAGTCAATTTGTAATATGAACAAGTTATGCATGATTATCAGAATGGTCAAAGTATTCATGGATTATGGAAATTATTTCAAAAATCATAAATACATGTGATTCATTCTAGCATTTAATTATTTTATCTTTTACCTTTCATTATAGGATACTTACCAAACTTTGAGAATGCATCCATGGCCTTCATTCTATATAAATAATGGTTAGAATCTGAAATATTAACATAAATATCATATACTTTAAACAGACAGAATTAAAATATCTATAATAATTAATAAAGTTTAGAAAATCTTTGAAATAAAGAAATGATTTTTACATATCACTTTACCTGCAGATGATAAAATTTTGTTGTTTAGTAATGTTGGTTCATATTTTATCTTCGATACTCTGTTTAATTTCTCCATGATCTGTTTCTTGAACATCTAAAAATTAAACATTCAGAAATACAAAATTATAACTTGACATTCAGAATACATGTACATAAATTAAGAAAAATACATCAAAATAGCATCTTCCCTTTTCTGTATTTGAAAATTGTGTCACTTGAAATAAATGAGGAATTGCAGTTTTCTTTGAAACACATTTTTTTTTATTTTGAAGACTATCAAAAATAATATTATCAACATTGCCAGACATTTGTTTGAGCTTAAAAATAAAATTAAAAATTAAAGCTTTCTTAAAATATACACCAATTAAAAACAAATTTTACATCTTTCTTCCAGTTTATCAGATTTATATATATTTATATCATGATTAAAATGTTAAAATCATATTGGTGACCAAAAGACAAAGAACAGACTTGAGATTCCTGGGAAAAAAAAGCTGTATCCTAAAGTTTTATCAAATGATTATTTCTTTCCATAATATAAATCACCAATATCTTAACTGTGTATTCCCCATACATATTTGAATTTCTCCCACCTCATCCCAAAAAAATGTAGGGCGTGAAACCTGAAGATTTCTTGAATATCAAATAGATAGTAAGGTTCACATTTTTTCCAACCTCTTAAAATGCATAATCAGGGCATGTTTGTCAACTGTTTTTAAGAAAAATGTAGTTGTAAATGTATATTTAGCAAAATAATGTCATATTAAAAGGAGATGAGACAGCAAATGACATGTAAACATATCAAAAATAATATCTTTTGCTTGGACACTGTATAGTTATTTACCAAAACCAGAAACAGGATGTAATGCTGAATTCCAAATTAAAATGCAACAATATGGAATTTTTGTAAAGGAAAATTACCTTGGGTGCTCCTGAACCAATCGATTTCTGGGCACCTCTTGTGGCAAACCGTGATATCTGCCTTTTGGCCACAATAAATGCCATAATGAAAACCTAAAGATTATATACATTGATATTTATTTTATACATACCGGTAATTTTACTCACAAGAGGCCCATGGGCCACAGCGCTCACATGAGTTACTATTGGCCTGCTGTTCTTCTACTGAAGATTTTCATCCTTATCTATTTCCATGTAAGACTTTGATCACATATTGTGGCCCCACTTCATCCCCAGGGTTCTACATAAATATGACTAATCACAACTTTGCTGTTCTTGAGAAGAAAAGTTTTTAAAGATTTTTATATATCTATATATATATATTCCTATGTGGTCCATGTAACACTTAACAATTAGTCCTAAGCTCTCACATAAGTTTCATCTTTTCTGGCCAAGTGGTTCTTGAGAAGAATATTTTTAAATGACCCAACCCAATTTTCACTATTTCTTAAGTATCTCCCCCTGGAAGAAAGCGTGGCACTTCATTTGTACAAACTTGAATCTCCTTCACCCAAGGATACTATGTGTCAAGTTTGGTTGAAATAGGTCCAGTGGTTCTAGAAAAGAAGATGAAAATGTGAAAAGTTAATGATGACCCTTATACATGTACATTGATATTTACTGAGAAGAAAACGATAAATACAAATGTTTATTTTATTGAAAAAATATATAAAATCTTTCTGAGTCATGATAGGTAATTTTTACACATTCATATATCATCACACTGGTGAGATAACAAATATTTGTAATGTATCTTAATATTTTCAATGTGGTAGGAGAGAAATAAATAACAGAGATTCGCAACTCTGCTATTATTTGCTAAAATATGTGAAAGTCCCTGCATTATTTCTTAATTTTACTTTTAATTGGTTTTATATTTTGATTTAAAGTTACATTAATTTTATCTTTATTTAATATAGGTGTATGATTTGAAAATTTTAAAAATATCCATTGATTAATAATACACATGTAGCATACAAGGCAAATTAAAGAGGTCACTGAATGAAAGTTGGTGAAATCTCAAAGATATGGCTGACCACCGGTCACCTACTACTTTTACAGATTTCTCCCTTTGTTATTGTATTAAATAAAGAAAATCATACCCAATAATTTGTTGATATAAATGAAAAGGTTTTACTTTGTTACCCTTGAAAATTTTAAAGATCTTTGTGATTTAAACAGTGTGAGATTTGAAAACTGTAAACAATAGGGAGTTAGATTAGGGACCACGAGATTTCAAAGAGTTTCATATCTTGGTTATTTATGCCTCTGGTTGATAGCAAGGAAAATGATCATATATATTCTATAGCCTAATGTATCTTAAAGACCTGAGGAAAACATTTACCTCATAGATACATATACATATAAATATATCTTAATTACTATTCTTTAATCTGCCAACCATATTCTTGTATCCAGTTATACTCAAAATAAGCCAAAAAGGTCTTCAAATTTATCAGGTTTAAGATTCTGTCTATATATTAACTGATACACTTCTCATTCAATTCTCATAACAAAAGCCCCTGAGCCACAATGCTTACCCAAGATTAGCCTGGTCCCCTGGCTCATCCTTGCCAAGGCAGGAGAGCCAAGTGGATTACAATCGATGCTGTCACCTGATTGGTCTGAACAATTCACGCTAAATCGTTGGATTTATGAGCTGTTGCCGTTAACCACATAAATAAATATTGACGTCACAATGATACATTGCATCGACGGCGTAGAAAAATAGACGTCACAATAAACTTCTAAACTGGAAGCGCAGCTAAATACGACATCACAATGGGCTCAGATTCAGGGCAGATTTGCCCTGAATTTATTGTAGTCCACCTGGTCCTAGTGACGCGGAGTATATGAAGCAAAATATGGACAGGAAACCGTCTAACCCAAGACTAAATTAGCCAAGCTTATTTTTTTAAAAAAAAATATGAAAGATTTTCTATTTTCCTGTAAAAATTTTGATCCTATCATTGTTGCCCCACCCTACCCTTATATTACATTCATTTATCATGGCTCTGCTATTCTTGAAAAAAGATATTTAAAGATTGGGGGGGGGGTATAATAATTCCAAGTGTAAAATGTGGTCCCACCCTACTCCTGGGGGTGATGATTTGGACAAATTTGATTTTGCACTTCCTGATGACCCATGCATTTTATACTATTAATCATGGCTCTAGTTGTTCTTGAGAATATTTTTCCTTTATTTTTCCAGTGTACAGCTTTGATCTCCAATTGTGCCCCCCCCCCCTTCCCTGGGGCTTTTATTGGAAGTATTCTGAATATGCATTACATGTACCTGAGAATGGTTGCATATTTAAAATGAGTAATAATGGAAAAGTGTTCTTCAAAACAAAAAATCTTACGATTTTTTTCTTACATGTTCCCATGTAAAAATTTGGTTTCCTATTGTTGCCCCATCCTACCCCACAGGGTGTCATGATTTTGAACAAAGGGGGAGTTTCGATAAGGCCGCTCAGCGGCCCACTTTTTTTCATAAAAATAAATTTCAATTTATTTTTTCAAAACTAGTTTAGAATTCAAGATAAATATGTTAACTTTTGTTATTTATATTTCAAAAGTTAATATAAGATGAATTCACACCGTAGCTGACACATACTTAGATGTACCCTCAGATCCATTAACATTAGGCTTATGGGAAAATATAAGAGGGTGGCATTTATAAATCGATGTTTAGAATATGAAGTGCACGAGGGACACTCACCTAAATTTGTTCAGTAATTAGTTATACTCTGCACACTAATTTCTTGAAATATGATGAGTGTCGCGTGTGCACTTCATATCTAAAAATTGAAAATTGCATAAAATTTGCATATCTAAAATTAGAAGCTCCTGGTTTCTTGATCTGACTCTGTGTTAAAATACTAAGCCAAAAGTAGCATATTTTTTTTAAATCAAAGAAGATTCTCGATTATAGAAAACATTTTCGTATCCTATCTTCATTTCGATACTCTTTTTGTCGCCAACTTATAACGTTAACGTCACATTTTTAGCTTACCCCTTCGAAGTTGGGGGAGCTTTCGTAATACCGTCGGCATCGGTGTTCCAGGTTCCATTTTTCGTATGGGAAAATGTTAAATACTGATTTTAAAGTTTATGTATAAACTGTCGATTAATTATGATGTTAAAACTTTCTATGTATGTTTACGTTTTATAAGTTAAATCCATCCTCTTTTAAAGAAAACTAACATTTAACACACCAGAAAAATATCGCACCTTAAAAAAACATTCGCATAAGATAAACACCATTTTCCGTAAAAAATATTTGTTGAAATTGGTTAATATATGTCATTATTCATATTTATCCTATTTCATTTACGATTTTGATGGTTAAAAAAATCCACTTTCCCTCTATGAAAATGTCTACTCCAAAAATATATGAAAGGGAGTATACTTAAATTTTCAATTACCACGTGACCAGAAAATGCGTAACATAAATTATTTTCATATTTTTAGGAAGATAAGGAGTTTTTCTACAAAATATCAAAATTTCATAAATTTTCGTGAGGGGCCGAAAAACGGCCTTATCGAAACTCCCCCTTTGAATCTGCACTACCTGTGTGAGGATGCTCTCATATTAATAAGACTAACCATGGTCTTCATATTCTTTTGAAAAGATTCTTAAAGATTCTTCCTATAAATTACCATGTACATCTTTGATCCCCTATTGTGGTCATGCCTTATCCCTGGGGCGAGGATTTGAACAGACTTTAATCTACACTATGTCAGGAAGCTTTCATATGTGCTTCATCTTTTCTTTCAAAATTTCTTACTATTTTCCCTTGAAAGAATATACTTGATTCCCCTTCAACCAAGGATGCTCTGTGGCAAGTTTGGTTGAAAATGGCCATTTGGTTCTGGAGAAGAAGTCCAAATGTGAAAAGTTTACAGACAACACATGACAGACTTAGATATATGTGCTGGACACTTCTAGAACAGAAAAGCTCACTTGAGCTTTCAGTTCAGGTGAGCTTAAAACTGATGAAATGCTTACAAGATATGTATGTGTCTTAATGAATGTATCTGATTGGGTTACTGTCATTTTGCCCCAAAACCAAAACGCCCCATGCATGAGGGCCCCAAACATTTTTACCAGCGTCCAAGTACAAATATGAGCGTCCCAAATTTAAATCACGAGCGCCCCAAACTTATTTCATGAGCAGCCCAAATTAGCATTTTGAGAGCCCCAAATAATATCATCCGATCTAACACAAGTGCTCGTTATGTGATAATTTTACATATAAGTACTTCATCAGTTATATTTTATTTTTTGAATATTTCATTTGAATCTATGTTGAAATTGACTTATGTTTATTTGCATACAACTGTAAAAAATATTCTTCTGTTTGACTTTCTTTCTTCAAAGAACGCTTGTGTAATATTATTTTAAATTATCAACTTTTAATTATTTGTGTAATTAAAAACGATAGTTTCAAAGTCTGAGCACCACCATTATCCCACATAAAGGAGCCCGCTCAATTATAATCTCATAATTATTTTTTACCACATCATGATGAAAAAAAAAATTGTTGATTGACTGTTCATTTCTTTTTGATCGTTTGAGAGATGGAGAATTGTCTTCATTGCAAGAAAATGATAAGTCCATTTTTATAAATATTTCAACAACGTTCAATATGTGTTGCTTTATCATATTATAGATGCATGGTTTTCCATCAAGGTGATTTAAGCAAGAGTTATTTCCCATGGCCGCCATATTGAGGCCAACACCCCAAGATCCCTTCATTATTCAACCAAGTTCAATTTGTTATACTGGGCACTGAGGTGAAGGTAACACTGTTTTTCTTATGAATATAAGTTTGTTAAAGCTTCTTTTAATTCATAATTTCAATATCGTAAATATTTTTTACCATATATTTTTGGCATGCATTTTTAAAATTGGTTGCTCAAAGAGGAAAATTCACTACTTTGACCTACAAGATGGCGTCCAAGGGGAATAACTCCGAGGAAAAATATGTCATTGGAAAACCATCTATTGTTAAAAACTTGTTCCAGTACGAACCTACATGTTTCTGAGATTCATGAAGTACTGTCTAACACGTTTTCACATTTTGTATCTCAGTTCCAATTAAGTATATACACGTACATGTAATTAACTTATTAACTAAGAATTTGCGTACGTTTTATAACTTCATAATGCTAGTTCACATATCTTGGGGCGTTCGTTATATGTAAAATTTGATGCACTCATGATATATATAATTTGGGGTGCTTGTGAATTTTTCATATATCAATATTTTTTTAACATCAAATTGTAAAAAAAGCCAATAATTTATTTCTTTATTAGTTAATAAGCCTTGGGGCACTCGAAATATGCTAATTTGGGGCGCTCGTGAAATAAGTGGGGTGCTCATATTTGTACTTCGGAGCCGGTAAAAATGTTTGGGGTGCTCATGCATGGGGCGTTCTGGTTTTGGGGTGCAGTGACTAGCACCCATCTGATTGATGGATTAATGTTAAAAGTGTACTCTGTTACTACATTGCTATTTTTTTTAATATATATACAAACATAAAAATAGACTTCAAAACACATTATCCCTTTAATATTTTTGGGAATCATTGTTCATACACAGAATACTTTAATCGTTATATTACCAATAGTCCTGCTGCGATAAACAAAACTATTCCTACAATAGTCAGCTCCCTTGTGACAGACATTCTGTGATACTTGAACGCCCTCCTCACATATTCAGATCTGCAAGTAAACTAAATATATCATAAATGAAAGAAATTTTTAAATATGTAATAAACTAATTTGATATTCAAATCGATTTTGACCCGTTATGAATCCTTTATGACTTATTGAAGTTTTATACAGTTATCAGGTTATGGAATTCTTTCCTACGCATAATTGTACATTAAATACATGTAACCGGTTACCCAAGCCATAGATAACCATTGAAATTTTTAAAAAGGATAAAGCACAGTGTAATTCAACTCACATTTAAATGAGAATGACTGTTGCAATTAGAACTAATTTAGATTAGTTTATAATAAACTTTATCTTCCGCAGCCCCTGGCTCCTGACTTGTTTACGTTTTTTTATGGTATCCCGATCCCGGTTGGAATAGTTTTTAAAATCGAAGAGAATCCCATCAGAAGTGATGTAATAAGTCTTTAATAAATTTCACAGTTACTTTTAAGACTTTATGTATATCACTGTTTACATATAATTGTAACATGTATCTTTCACTGTAAAGATTAATATTTTTCTTTGTTAAATTATAAATATTTCTAAGGTACATGTATGTGTTTCTTAGCTTAGAATAAGATTTATGGTGAAAAAGAAAATGAATTTCATCCTCAATCACATCAGTATTGCAAGCATTACAACATCTTTCATTTCTTGATGTGGAAATATATCTACCAATTTCTATTGCAAGTTAATGTGCACCTAACCTAATTCTACTAAGAGAGGATCTCTCAGATCTTTTTCTGAGTAAATAAATATGGACTTCTTTTTCTTGAGTATTATTTTTTTTAATAGAATTCAAGTTTTTCCGAATCAAAGATTTTTGATGTTTGCTCTTGAGTGCACTGGCCAATAATTCTTTGTTTTATGCTGCGTAAAAGGTGTTGAATGGAACCTTTATTTCACTGGCGGATTTAGAGGGGGTGGGGGGGGGGTAACTTTTAGTGACCAAGAGTATAAATCTATTATTATTATAATTGTTTAGATATTCCTTTCTTATCTGGTACAAACTGCAGGTAGGTTGGAGAAAACACCTGGGATCAGAGAAATATCCCTAAGTTAAATTAATCTTGTAACTAGAATAGAGTTGCAAAAACCCGTGCCACCTTTGCAAACCACTACAGAACATCTGGAAATCTTAAATTATCAGAACCAAAACCAAAATAGGGATAACAAATATTAGAGTCCTCTTCTATGGATCTGAGTCTTGAAAGTTGACAAACAACATCACTCAAAAACTAGATATCTTCCAAACAGGATCCCTCCGTAGAATTCTTCAGATATTCTGGCCGAACAAGATCAGCAATGAGGAGCTGTATGAAAGAACACAAACAGCTGCCATATCCGACATGTCCTCATGCAGAAAGGACACATCTGTTATACCAAGAGTAGCCTTAAGATGGACTCCACTGGGAAAGCGAAACAGAAAGCGACCAAAGGAGACATGGCGACGTTCAGTACAAAAAGAGATGATATATTAGGGCCCGGATGGACTTGGGGCGTGGTACAGCAAATGTCAGCGGACAGACAGGGATGGAGGTCCTCGGTGCAGACCTCATGTGCTCAAAACACGAAGAGGACTAAGTAATTAAACTTCGGGGATCAGGGTAATAGCTTCTTGTTAAATTAATCTTGTGAGTAAAAGTAGATAGGGTAGCATATATTATAAAGTAATCTTAGTTAGTACAAACTATAGGAAGGTGAAAAAGACCATTTGGGATCAGTGTCAAATGTGCATGTAAAATTGATTTGGTACCTTATGAAAGTAGGTAGGTGAATATCGTGCATTGTTTAAAAAAAATCTTAATTGGTATAAAGTACAGGTGGGTGCATGGGGGAAAACCGTACGTGATCAGTGTAAAATATTCAGGTACACTAATTAATCTGGTACCTGATAGAAGTAGGTAGGTGAGTAGCGTGTATTTTGTAGTAATTTGTTGGTACAAATACAGGTAGGTGAGGGAAACAGTCTGAAATCAGTCTAAAATATACATGTAAAATTAATCTGACGCTAATAGAATTAGGTAGGTGAATAGCGTGTATTGTGCAAAAATCTTAGCTGGTACAAACTACAGGTGGGTGGGAAAAACCGTCGAGGATCAGTGTAATATGAACATGTAAAATTAAATTGGTATCTGGGGAAAGTAAGTAGGTGAATAGCATGTATTCCTTAGGAAAATATTGAATTACCTGTGATCCAGCTGATTAAAATACATCGTATTCTACGTCTTAAACATCAACTTTTCGTATTAACCTACCGGAAGTTTGTACCATCTGGTATTAACCTTTATTATAGCTAAAATAAGTCACAGAATTCCTAAAACCTGGGAGCTTTTAGGGAGATAAGCCCTTGGAAGCTCCTATACATTCTAGCAGTTTTATACTATTTTTTTAGTCGATCAATCGAAAGGAATTTTGTTTTAAAAGAAAGTTTTTATAGATTAAATAAATCCTCTGATTAAAACAAAAATGTTTATTCTTAATTTAAAGTTCTATAAGGCATGTGTAGTATCAGCATCATTTTTTCGATGATAATCATTCACTGTATAAAATATGGTATGAAATTTTCACCTTCCACGATTTTGTTGCAGTACGATCAATACCACAACTCTACATTTATCTAATTAAATATTTTTTATTTGTAAAATCAGAACAAAAATATGTATGCCTCTGGTGAAATTTTTTGTCGCAACTTTACCCCTTCCCTTTTTCTATTTCGGGGACTCCCCTCCCCCCTTTTTTCAGCTCCCTCCCCCTCTTTTGAAAAAGATGATACATCATCATGTTTGTCTATTAGCTTTTTTCCCCTTTAATTTAAACCTGTACTTTCACACTAAAGAGGTCACAAGTCCGATCCATGACGAAAGCAAATACATTCATGATCAAATTATTTATTTGGAATTTACACGAAGAAAAATTCGACATGAAGAAAAATTCGTAAAAACAACATAAAGTTGTTAGGAGAAATATCGGAACATTCTTGCTTTTTATTTTATTTTTTATTAATTCTTTTTCTTTTTATTTATTTATTTATTTATTTTTATTTTTTTTTATTTTATTTTTTTTTTTTTTTGAATTTTCGCGGAATCAGTCTAATTCTCAGAATGAAACTTCCTACGTCACTTCCTTGTATACAACAGGCACGCCCACAGCACGCGGTTGAACCATTTGAGGTAAGTAATGGTTTATTTACGTTACCAAACGCGTAACTGGGCACATTACATTAAAAAATGACAATCATCAAAACAGAGATGAGGAATAACAGAATAAGGAATTAATTCGTTCATTTTTTTAAAAGGTGAATTCATCGTCTTTCAGACAACAGAGAATATTGCTTGTGTAATCCGCCAAATAGCCAAACGAGGTCAAGACAAAGAAAGCACGTTGTTTTGTCAGCGGACTTTTAGATCATGATCATGACTTACCAAGATCAAACAGATATCGACTACGAAACAAGTTTGGCAGCTGAAGGGCTCGTGTTAATGTCAAATATGGTTGCTTCAAATATGGTGCACCGAACAGCTGACGAGAAAAATATGGCAGACGTAACCAACGCAGAAAAGAGAGACTCTTTGTTTAATCTTGCCAGCATTTTGACAGATTTGGGAAAGTTAAGACGAGAACACGTAGACCATGACTATTTCAGTGGGGAAATGAAGAGGATTCATTTAAGATCTTTACAAAATGACGAGAGTTTCATTGATAAATCTACGAAAGACAAGAAACGAAAGCGCGCAAAAGCGACCCCGCCCACTTCAGTAGCTGAAGGTTCTGACGAAGATGACAGTTCTATGTGTAATCCGAAGAAGAAACTGCATCAGTGTTATTACAAAGGGTGTGCCAAAATGTATGGAAAAAGCTCACACCTAAAAGCACACCTGCGCACACACACAGGTAAACAAGCTTAGACATTACATTGTCGGAAAGGGGGAGGGGGGTACTTGTTAAGTTATAACTCATAGATTGATTGGACTGTAAAATTTTTAATTATTAGTATATGTTTGTTGATATAACAACAGTGGCCAGTGCCTATTAATATACACAGTTTTCAATTAATCTCCATATTGTAACAAGATAGGACTGTTATCATGGTTATACTAAAATTTCTTTCATTTTGTGAGTCCAAAGTAAAATTAATTAATTTTTTCTTTAATTGGGTTACAAATCTCCTTGCTAAACTTTTTAAAAGTAAAATATGAAGTGATATGCTCTAAAGTAGATGAGTTTTGTTCAGGGTTAATTGAAATGAAATTAATTGTTCATTAGTCATTAATTAGTTAATTGAGTGACTTTGTTTGATTTTCCTCGACATTCTCCCTGTAGTTGGCATTTTGATTGTCCCTGACTGTTTTCTTTGCCTTTTAGGAGAACGTCCATTCCCTTGTACCTGGCCAGGCTGTGATAAGAGATTTGCCAGGTCAGATGAATTGGCCAGACACTTACGGACACACACAGGTAGACATTATTTACTTCCATACATTTAAAAACGTCACTCTGTTCTTGTAAATTTATAGATGATTTTAATAAAACATATATATTTATCATCTCAACAATCATCTGAAAAGTTTCTTTTCTAATTGAACATTTTAATTATATTTTAATTATTTTACCCATATAACTATTTTTTAAATGTGTTTAATGTAAACATGGAGTTAATTATTACACATACATTTAATAAAACACTAGTATAATTTCTGATACTCTGGATTTTAGGTGAGAAACGTTTTTGCTGTCCATATTGTGACAAAAGGTTCATGAGAAGTGATCATCTCAACAAACATGCCAGACGACACCCTGAATTTGACCCCACTGTCCTTCAGAGGTCAAGGTTAAAGAAAAGCAATACCAGTCCATTACCCACCGGTAAGGAAAGTGAACGATGAAAATGAACGACAGGTTATAAAGGATCTTAATTACATGTATTATAGTAATTAATTGCCAAAGTACAGGATATTAACAGGTATCTGTTACCGAGGTCTATGGTTTTATATGTTATGTAGGACAGAATTATGTTGGACTGTTCTATATTATAGACATCAGGAGGGAGATTTTCACCCCCTACATTAGGCCAAGAAAGTAGATCTCTTCAGATTTCACAATCAAAACTAAATGTTCAGACAGATAGACATATCATGTGCTGATAAAAAAGTTTACCTGTTGCAAAGTATACTCATCCATGTATATAAAGAAACATTTAAGATGTTATACTGGTGTGCAGCTTGAGGGATTCAAATGGATGCTTGATCTCAGTAGGTTTTAAGTGCATAACAGAATTGAAGCCTAAAAGAAAAAAAAAATCAACAATGCATTGTGTGAATGATGATACTGGCTAAATGTGTTTCCTATTGAGTTGTTAACTTGAAACTTTAAAAAAACGGTTCTGCTAAATTTATTATGTTTATTAATATCTCTGTATGTTGTTTTTTTTTTACTTTACATTTACTATGTATAAATTCATGGCTACCTTTTGTTAAGATTGCTTCTCTACAACTGCAATACAGTTTTGTGCAAATGATGTATTACCAGGATCTTGGGATTTTGTCTTGGTAGATGAAAATGACTTCAGTATCAAAACATTAACTCTTGAAATACAGTAAATCCATGCCAGTCCTTGGACAGTGTTCTATTTATTAGGCTGTTGTTTTGAGTGACTTTTAGCTATGGTTGTGCCTTCCTAAACATGATAGTGTTTTCTCCCCCTCTCTTTGTTTTGTTATTTTTGTTTTCTGTGAAATCTCTTCAGGGATCCTGAGCAGAGTGTGATACATGTCAATGTGACCTGAAACTTGTGTTGATATTCCATTGTGTGTTGAATGATATTGATAATTTTGAGGTGTCCTTGATACAAAATGTTTTATCAAAGAAATCCCAGTTTTCTACAAATGTTTGCTTACTTTCTAGTGCTTACAGTTAAACAATTTACATTTTCATAGAATTAGAAACAGAAAAATGATATTAGCATTATATTTAGCTATTGTACTAGTTGTCAGTTCCATATTCTTCGTAATTGTCTGATATTTGAATGTGACAATGAAAAATCTGCGCCACAAAGACACACTATCTTAATTTACTAAGTGGAGATAAACCTGTGGTCTTCTAAACCAAGCAAGATAAAAATATTTGGATTACCCTGTACTAGGTATTTAGATATAATTTTGAATATAAATGTACCTGAATGATTGAAATGGGGGGGGGGGGGGTAGGTGGGGGGGGGGGTTATGCAAGGGTAATATTGTTATAATTGTATCATTGTGCAAAAGAGCTTTTTTGTGTGACATGCTTACATCGCCACAGCTGGGATGTTTAATCACAGGTCTTTATTGTTACGGTGATTGCATTTCCAGTCCTACAAAGATAGACGTAACCAAAATAAAACATGTCACTTTATATTTCCAAATTTACATATATCCACATGAAGTTTTTTTTAACTTTAATTCCATTCTGTCATATCATTGTTTTTTTTTTGTTTTTTGTTTTTTTTTTTTAATAATTTCATACATATTTTTTACTAGTAGATACATTAATAAATATATGTGCGTGAAATTAAACTGAGAAAATGTGATGTAAATTTGGCTAAATGCTCCACACATCGTTGTGTAAAAATTGTAAATATTGTATGAATAGAAGTATTGTAAGCATTGTAAATATTGTAGGAATAGAAGTATTGTACGCATTGTAAATATTGTATATTTTACAGACCCATTGAATGATTGGTGCTATATTCCATTGTTCTAAGTGATAACAAGATCTGTCCATGTTGTTCATTTTTTGTTTTGACATTTTAGATGACAGGTTTTAGTAACTGATCTGATTTGTTAAGAGTAGCTGTAAGGAGTGCCTCAGTATTTTACATCACTCAATGTTTGTCATTTATAGATCTGATGCTATGTACATCTATGTCCACTCAGAGGTTATTACACAGAACTTCCAAAAAGCCATTTACAGTCATTAAACATAACCTAAATGAAACCATCCACTGAGTCAATGAATTTGGTAAAACATCTAGCTATGCTCTAGGTGATAACATTTCATTCTATCAAAAGCTGCATGTAGATACAAGTTTTTATAATATCACATCCAAAAAAGTAGCTTTTATTGCATTTGGAAAGACTACTGATAAATCAATTGAAGTTTTATTAAATGTGTATTGGTTACTGTGGCTTTTGAACAATTAAAAAAAAATCACTGGATGGCTGCATTTAAGTGATGCTTAATTGACTCTTTTTTTTTTTAATTAATTTGTACATAAAAGTTTTAATTTCGGTTAAATTTGGTGCCAATTGAGAGTATATTTTGTCTTGTATAAAGAATCCGACAAGGTTTCCATTTTCAAAAGAGAAGGTTAAAAAAATGTATATATATTTTGTAAAAATGTTTGAACTGTAGGTTTTATGAAAAAAGTACAGAGATATGTTAATCTGATTTTAGTTTTTCATCCCATGTTTGAGTTGTATCTGTAAATAATTTTATTTTTGTTGATGTTGAACTATATACTGTATCTATTTAATTATATTGTGGCTGTTTTATGGAATTTGTTTGTGACAATAAAATACATTTTGTCTCATGTATTGATTGGAATATATAATTAATACATGCACATACTTGTGGTGGAAATCACCCATTGATTAAAACAAAACAATTCGTACATATATATGTTTAATTACATTTCAACTTGCTGGATAAAGTAAATGTAATTCACAAAACAGAGACAACAACAATCTCTTTATATTTAGGGAAGTCCATGGATTTTGGGAAAAAATATCTGCTTAAAAAAAATTATCCAAAGCAACCCTTATATACGATTCTAATGACTTAGTGACCCACAAATATCCATGTCCTTCTTAAAAGGGAATGTACATAATAGATTAAAAAGTGCTTCGACTGGCCATCGAGAAAGTTTATAGACATAAATTTGCAGGTATGAAGAACTTTTTTTTTTTTTTTTACTGTGATCCCTTTTTAAAATTCAATTTTATTACCTTAGCCAATGTTTCACATATTATCATCAATATAAATTTATGTGCTTTCCATGGACTTTTTATGCTAATGGGAGTGGAAGAATAGACAGATGGATAAATGATGGATTTTTGTTATTATCTACTAGTAGTACATGTTTTAGTATTTACTTATTTTTTGTTTTACATATTTGATTATACATAAGCACATAAGGATTGAACACAAGTTCTAAAATCTTTTCACACCCCTCCCTGCAATTATATTGGCATACACTGAAAATAAATCATTGTTTGAGTTCATAAGGTTGTAGTTCCCCATGCCAGGACTTTTTTCCCATGGGAAACCGAGGGGAAAAGTCTTGGTCAAGGTGAACTGAAATCTTGCTAACTCTCTAAATGATATACTTTTTCATTGTATTACACATGTATATTGTACCTATATAAAAGGAAAATCTAGAGGATTACGAGTACTAGTAACTGGGAAATAGCCTTTGAAGCAGGGATTAGAACATTTGACTAACGCATGGCAAAACGGGGATTAGTCCATTCAAAGCGATTTCTAGGAAAATAAATACCGGTATTCACATCTAAAGAACTAATTTTATATAGCGGGTTCCAGTAAATGTTCTACTAAGCCTCTTTCTTTACTCCTGACTAAAATATTAACAGCGGTGAAGGAGAAACTTCAGAAGTACTGTACAACAATATATTCAAGAAGTGGTGTAAATTAAATCAGATGAAAATACTTAAAAACGCCAAGGAACTTAAAGAAAATTTGAAATCACAAAATTTTACCAAAATCAATAACATCAAAACGTATGACTTTTCAACACTTTGTACACGTACCATTCCCCACGATAAATTAAAGTCCAGGCTTTTTGACATCGTTGACAGCTGCTTTTTTCAATAAAAATGGACATCGTAAACTTACCTTATCATTGGTCATTTGTAAAATCATTTTGATTCTGATAGTACACACAAGTACCCTGAAATAGATATTAAAAAGACATTTGAGTTTTCTGCATGATTGACAATATCTATGTAGTTTTTGGAGGTCAGGTCTTCCAACAATCTGTCGGAATTCCTATGGATTCCAAAATGCACCCCATTTTTATATTCATATGAAGCAGAATTTATTTAAAAACTTTTACATGAGAAGAAGACACTTGTTCTGGCCTTCATATCGACATTTAGATATATCGACAATGTACAGTCTAACCTTGAACTCAATTGGACCAAGAAAAAATTCGAGATATCCGAGGATTCAGGATATCCAGGGTAAAATACTTGAAGAATAAGGGATCGGGACTTCCAAATCACTTTAACATATCAATGGTATTCGAGATATCAGTGTTCGAGATACCGAAGTTCAACTGTATTATCATATAACAATAGTTACTTAACTCGATATATCTAAATAAACTTGAAATAAAAGTTACCACAGAGTCTGACACATCTGTTTTATATTTGGATATTTTTGTAGAAAAATACTTTGATGGTAACCTAACAACAAAACTTTATGATACATATGATGATTTCAACTTCTCTATCGTCAGCTTCCCTTACTTATGTAGCAATATACCTTATTCGATACGCAAGAGCATGCTTCACTTAAAATAATTTCTTAAACGCGGCAAGCTATTGACAAACAAGTTGATGAAATAAGGATATCAACAGTTTCGTTTATAGCTGAACACGACTCGTAAATAGGCATATGCCATATTAGTTTTCCTATCTCCAATATCAGCACGGTGTATATTCTTCGCATTTGTTACACCTGACTGCTTTCTTGTCAAGGGTACCTGAATGGAATGGACGACACGTATTCCTGTTGGTAATTTTACATTATCTTTGTTTACATTTTCCTTTGCAGTTTACATTTATTTGTGTTTGTTTGTACTGCACTGACCTGTGCAGTTGATGTAAGTTTCTTTGGTAACTTCCTTTTTTTGCCGTGGAAGAAGCACACGGCTACTTTTGTTGCTATCAGAGTTGACAGTATATAGCTGTGTAGAATATGTACGTCCACACCGGTAAAAACTGATTACACTAAACCGAGACCAAGTGAAAAGCTTATATATATAGGGGCTGTACAGATAACGGAAAATGCAGAGTAATATGTCGGACAAACATAAATCTCTGCCTTTTACGAATCGTGTTCAGCTTTAAAGTCATTATTTTGAAAGTTCTGTGGTCGATACAATGATCTTGTCAGCAAATACAATCGATCATTAAGTCTAAATAAATACTGACTGATGTTTTTCATACATACTAATACTATTTAAACACTGAACTGTCTACGGATTTTTCCGTTTGCCCGATCATGACAATGAGCACACGGTGGGTGTGACTGGTCGACAGGGGATGCTTACTCTTCCATGGCACCTGATCCCACCTCTGATATTTTTTAGAGATCTGTGTTTGCTCTGCTCCCGATTTGTATTTTTTCAATGGACTTTTGAACTTGATTACTGTTTGTTATATCCATATTTAATATAGAGAAAAATCAGGGACTTGGACAAATCATTTAGATAAAACAGCGTTAGTTATGTAATTTAAAGTAGACTAAATTTATCAGATCTTTGCTTTTGACAAAGTACATGAACATTCATTTTATGTACAGTCATGACATGTGTATTTAAATATTTAATTAAGCAAGAAATCTTCCAAAATGTTTGATAAAATTTTGAAAAATATTGACGTGCAATCCAGTAGCACTCCAAAAATAGATTTATCTTTAAAGTGAAGCATATCAAATCGGATGAAAAGAAAATTTTTAGAAGTGGTGATTTGTATCTTCTTATTTACAACTTGAGCATAAACTGAATCTATAGTGGACAAAAAACGTCGATAGACACAATTAAAACATGCATTCACTCTCCATTAAGGCATGTTCCTCTATATATAAGCAGGCTGCGGAAAATATATGGCATGCAGAATGATTTGAAAGTTCTGAGAAATTTAACTCATTTAATACTCCCATGTATGTACATGTGTATATGTCTCCTTTGACCCAATTTTATGTATACAAATAAACAGTTAAATGGAGAACAAATACTAGAAGAATATACGTTGACTTTGCATTAAGGTCGGACGAGACGTTCCTCGATCAATCATATTTAATTTTTCCTAAGAACTTGTGATTGAAGTGTTGCTACTTTGACAAGTTTCTTCACAAAAAATTGAGGTACATTACCGGACATTTGTGCAAGATACCTGGGAGCTTGT